CCTCTCCTCCACTTGTTAGGAGTACCAACGCTGGTGCCAGTAATCAGCAGAGTATGATACAGGTACAGAGTGGGGATATTTAAAGATGACTTTAATAAAATAAAGTAAATGTTAAAAGGGATGATGAATACATACAAAATACAATCTTGGAAAGTCCGAATAACACTGACACGTTTTGACCAATCTGGTCTTTCTCAAAGTGTATAGTTTCCTTCTCCACTTCCTGGCTTTTATACCCAACCGGAGTTTTCATTTGGTGCCAATCATTCACTTGCCGCCTTTTTTTCTCATTCACCCACTTCCGCCAAGTAAGATGACGTGTTTCCATTTACTTTCTGATCTCCATATGTTCAACTTTGAATGACTGATTTAGAGTTTGACAGTGCATTTTTGTTAACTGTTTGTAGAAATAAACACTTTTTTTCTAAATGTGTTGTGCAAGTGTGTGAGCACTGTGTGTAATATAGTGCAGTACATAGTTTCTTAAAGTGAAAGGCAATAACAATACTACATTATTAGCAAATCCAGCAATCTGCAACTAATCACCTTTTGGGGCTTTATAAAGTTTTGTTACTTTGCACAATTCATAATACATGTTCGTATCTCAATATATTTTAATAATAATAACAGAAACAAACACACAATAATCACAATTATATCCTATTCCATTAAGAAATTGAGGGAGGATATGGGTCATGTACCCCAATCCACCATCAGCATTAGAGCCAGGGCCTCTTAGACTCCTAATTCCTCTTTCTTGGTTATGAGGAATTCTTTGACTCCACCACTGTTGCCACCACTGTTACTGGTATTTAGTCTCAGGATAGTGAAACCAGCATGTCTGTTATGGTTGATTCAACACCCAGGAGGCGACCAATTTTTTTTCTCTGCCTTTTCTGCTGTAATTGGTGACTCAAAGTCTCCAGTAGCAGAGGAGTCTGTAGTTGAAGTAGCAGAGTCAGCTAGCCACATAAGGAAGACCACCATCTCCATAATAACGTATTGCAGCTCCTTCTATCATAGCTAGTCCCCCCCAGCCAACTAAGGGGGGTCTCATTGAAGTGTATTTGGTGATGATATTGCTGTTTTAGCACTTACATGCGGAAAATATTGAGATGACAGATAGCAGCCCATCTAGTGTGCACGTGCCTCCTTCATCTTCTCCTACAAATTCCTTCTCTATCTGCTTTGCAATTACCTCATCCAATAGAGAACTTTGTGACATCAGCTGCATCTGCTACCAGTGGGTCAAGTCGCTTACCTACTGTCTGATATTTCAACATTAAATATTATGCTAATATATTTTAATAACCCTGACTTGGTCATCATTGGTTATTTCAATTAAAATATTATTATAAAATAATCATCGAATTTAAATGGATATAATTCTTTGGACATATGCTAGTTAGTAGAGTTTTGTACGGTTAAAAATTTTTGTTCTGCCAAAAAATTTTTTTCTGAAAATTACATTTAGTTTGGAACCTCCTACACCATGCAAGAATGTTTTTTGCCATGGTTGCGTAGGGGTTATCATGTAGACTTATGCACAGCAGAAAAATGTTTCCCAAATTTTTTTAGATTTAGTCAGTTTGGTATTCGTCCATGTGACATTTTGTGTCAGATTAATTTTGTCCATGCAATTGTTTTTTTGAAAAAAATACTTGGTTGAACCAAAAGGATGCAAAAATAGGCCAACCAGTCTATTGCAAAATATATACATAAAATATTTATTATGTTTAAATATTAGATATGTATTTAATATATAAAATATGAATATATATTTTTTTATACTGCTCTTTAATTTTTTCCATTTATTGGTCACTTCTCTCTTGATCTGTAAATACAATCAACATTTAGTGGCTGTTCCCTAAATATTAATCTTTAATATATATAAATTAATTAATGTATCTTAGTAACATAGTATTATAAATTACTGTAAATTACTGTAGACCCATTTAAGTTGTTTCTATTGATTACTAATATAAAATTTTCTTAACAAAAGAGAAACATTTATGTTTATGTTATTTAAAATAAGATGGTATTGTGGTAATAATCATGTCTCCTAAGCATGTCTCTTTCTTAGACCCATTTGAGTGACTCGGCTGATAAAAACATTGCATTATATATATATTAGCAATCATATTATCTTTTTTATCCCTTTATAGGTTATAATGAGTATATCAAATCTGGTAGATGAAGAATCTTCAACTTTTAGAAAAAATGAAAGCCGTACCTCTGAATTTGTGATTTTTCTGATTCTAATGAGCTGCAAATTCCTCTGTTTATGCTCTTTCTTTTAATATACCTACTCACTCTTCTGGGCAACATTGCAATCATATCATTAATAAGCCTAGACACAGCTTGCAAAAACTCATGTACTGTTTCCTGTGTAACATGTCATTTTTAGATATTTCCTATAGCTCTGTCATGGCTTACTTTTGCAACAAGTAATAAGAACATTTCATGTAAGAGGTGCATGGTTCAACTCTACTTCTTCAACTCTTTCGCAAGCATGGAATATCTCCTGCTCACTATAATGGCATATGATTGATATATTGCAATTTGTAAACCACTTTTTTATCCACAGGTCATGACTACAAAGACTTGCATTTGTTTATCAATTATGGCTTGGATAGCCGGGTTTCTGGCAGCAGCACCTGTGACTGTCTAATCCTCCACCCTCACATTTTGTAAATCAAACATCATCAACCATTTCTTTTGTGATGTTACTCCTTTGTTAAAACTGGCTTGCAGTGACACGTCTTCTATTGAGTTTGTAATGTTTGCAGAAGGTGTTGTTCTTCTACTAAGCTGTTTTCTCTTCACTGTGACATTACATTATCTCGGCTATCCTCAAGATTAGCTTTACTGAGGGTAGACGTAAAATCTTTTCTACCTGTGGGTCACACCTTACTGTAGTTATCCTCTTCTGTGTTTTGGTTGTTGGTGTGTATATGAAGCCAACATCATCATATTCTTTGAATGAGGGAAAATTTTTGTCTGTTCTCTATGTTAATATTATTCCAATGTTAAATCCAATGATATACAGTTTATGGAATAAAGATGTCAAAGAAGTGTTCAAAAACATGTAGGGAAATGTGCAAATAATCCCCTTCTAATATTATAACATCTAAAATTATATATTTTGCAAGTAATTAAATATGTTTTCCCCTATAGAGTAAAATAGTAGTAGCATCAAATGCCTGTTGGTAGTTTTGGTGTACATATATACATAATGCTCTACATAATGCTGTTCCCACCTATCTATCCTCCCTTATACACAAGTATGTCCCGTCTAGGCCCTTACGATCTGCTGAAGACTTACGTCTATCTTCTGTATGTATTCCCACCTCTGATGCTCGCCTTCAAGATTTCTCGAGGGCTGCACCATTCCTGTGGAACTCACTTCCCTCCTCCGTTAGATGCTCACCCAGTCTCCACTCCTTCAAAAAATTGTTAAAAACCCACTTCTTCATAAAAGCGTATCAATTAAACTGTTAATAGCTCCTGACTGATTCCTCTTCTGCAACTGTCACTAGTCTAATATTATCCTTACCTTTTTGTGTCATTTTACCCCACTCCTTCTAGCATGTAAGCTCATTGAGCAGGGCCCTCAACCGCTCTGTTCCTGTGTGTCCAACTTGTCTGGTTACAATTACATGTCTGTTCGTCCACCCTTTGTAAAGCGCTGCGGAATTTGACGGCGCTCTATAAATATCATAATAATATATAGATTTATTTTTGGACATTTTTAATTTTACATTGATTGTTATTGTGAATATGTGAAAAACAAAATTATATTCAATAGAAAATTACCTCCCAAAATATTTTTATTTATAGAGTTTTAATTTCTAAACATGAGCTGGTAGATGTAACATTTGTGGTAAGAACATATAATAGGTGGATTTTGGAACTCAGTCATCAGGTGGGGTAATGAGGTGGATGGGTGGGGAATCAGATAGGGTAATGAGGTAAATGGATATTGCCCGCATATGCTGCTACTTCATGATAGTGTCCCCATACCTCAATCCCCTTGATATGTAGATGTGATCTGATTTCATTTAGGAAGAGCTCCAGGCTCAGTTTGAGGAGACAACCTTACCTCGGCTAGTACCTAATATTAAGAGATGTGGACAAGAAGTTTGCTAGGACCCTGAAGGGAAGGAATAAAGTGCTGATATCCATGTAATATTGTTGTACTGTTGTCTAAAGGCTTCAGCAATGGAGATAGGAGTGGAGTGTGTGCAGTTGTTTACATGTATTTTGCTAGCAAATGTCTTTTGTCTGCTAGCTCTGCGGGCTTCCCACTGTTATTGCCGAGGTCATAGAAAACTTTGCCGATAGGTTTACATAGAAATTGCACTTGGGAATTTAGGACTCAATTAAGCTGTATGTGAAGGTCAGTTAATTGATGAAAGGTGGCATCATCTAATGTCCCTTAGCTGTGTGTGGACTCAAGCTTAGCAATTGATGTTTAGTACTAACTAAAAAAATATTACAAACCTTAACTGAAAGTTCTTAGAGTTGAGCGAACACCTGGATGTTCAGTTCCGGTGGTTTCGGACGAACTTTGAAAAAAAGTCTCGGTTCAGGCTCGAATTTGACCCCGAACTTGAACCCTATTGAAGTCAATGGGGACCCGAATGTTTGGCCACAAAAATGCCTCTAAATAACTTCTGGAAAGGGCTAGAGAGCTACAAAAAGAAGGAAATGGAGGTAAGAGTAGGACAAGTGCCTTGCAAACAAATGTGGATAGGGAAATCACTTAAAATAACACAAAAATGAAAAATACAGCTGAGCCATAAAATAACACTAGATGGAATCTTTGATTTTAGCTTTGGAAGAACGTAAATCAAAATCTAAAGCATGGCTGTCTCTTTCATTGTTCAAACTGAGCTCAACTCCTGATGCATGGAGAAAAGGCCTTCACAAGCCTCTGCTAATGTGTACCTAGTTTATACTAAGTGACCCATAGGTTGAGGAGGCGGTGACCGTGGTGGTGTAGGTGGAAGCAGCAGTGGAGGAGGAGGATGAGGTAGCCAACACTGTTTTTTTTTATTTTTTTATTGTGATAGCCCACAAAATATTGGGACATATAAAAAAAGACAACTATGTTCCGCAGAGTAACTGTTGACATTATAGTTGCACAGGAACTTTGCTGACTCTAGAGAACCTCAGGCAAATCGCACATCACCGTGGCGGTGACTTTGCATGAGGATGTCATCCATATCAACTTTCGATGCCAGTTTCTGTGTCTACCATGGCCATGGGTAACGGGGAATCAGGGTTCCATTTCATACAAGGACCCTGAGAAATGGCTACCACATGCAAGGAAGGCAGCAGGTGCGCAAATGACCCACTCCCGATGCGGGAAGGTAGTGATGACAAATAACAATACAGGACTCTTTAGAGGCCCTGTATTTGTAATGAGTCCACTTGAAATCCTTTAACTCTGATC